TTTTAATATAGCGTATGAAAGAAAAGAAGACTTTTACTTTGAAATAAAGAAATGTGTGACCACAAATACTGTATAATTAAATAAGTAACGTGACCCAAACTAGTCAGAATTCTGGCAGCCACAAGCACATTTTTATTTTATACTGCACAAGATCTATACACAAGAACAATAATGTGTTAAATACACTGTTTTTATAAAGTAAAAGTCAATTTTAGATTTTCAAAGTAAAAGCTTTTATGTTATCAAATAGCACACAATTTCTTCCTCAGATGAGTTCATTTACTGTATGTCTGGATGTTTGCATATGTGTTACAGTTTTGGGTTTATTTGTGAATCTTCTGCCCTCAGAAACAGATTTTTAATCTCCTTAATCTGATGCTAAGAAATAAATGAAACATATGCTGTTTAGCGCCTTACACAAAAAATGAGAAAAAGCAGAAAAAAGTTTCAGTTTTCAAATGAAATACGACGAAAAGTCTAGTATTTTATGTATATTTTGTATTAAATAAAAATGATCTTAAAATAGAAAAGTCCATTTTATGCTTCTATGTGTTTTAAGAGGTTCAATTTTTAGCTGATCAGTTGTTTGTGATCACCACTATAAAAGCAGGAGTTTTTTCAGTTTGCTGCTGATGTGTTGACACAATGACACGAAGGAAAACAGCAGAAATTACCTTAGAAAAGCAACTGTTGCTGCTCATCAATCTGGGAAGAGTTAAAGGACATTTAGGTTTGGTTTATGTTTAATAAACCACGACGCGGTGGAATCTGTTGTGTGTTTTTGTACTTTTTAGACATGAATAATTTCATTTTGTATGTCTTGATATGTAAAACTGTATAAATTTAACTAAACCCATTAGATCACCATCTTTTAGTTCTAATATCCATTTCCAAACCTTTCTCCCTTACCCAGATGATTCTGTTAGACTTTGACTTCAGTAACGATGAGAGGATTAATGTCTCATGTGATGTTCTTTCTCGGGACAGGTCTTAAAGAAGCAGCCGATCCTTTATTGTGATACTCAGGGGGGTGTCACCATAAAACACCTGTGACCTTATTCCGTTTTTCTTTAATGCTCAAACCCTTTTTTTCCAGGCAACTTTATTTTCCACTTGCTTTGTCCCACTGCCCTTTAATGTGTCACTCTTGCACTTCATGTGTTTTTTACTAAATGAAAATGGTGGACTTCGGGGTGAAGGAAAGCTCTGGTAAAATGTTCAGTCGGGTCCATATACTGTATATTGGGACGTCAACACAATTCTCCTTTTTTGGCTGTAAACACCCCAATAGTGGATTTGAAATAAAAACCAACAAGATGGGCTTTAATTGCAGCCTTTCAGCTTTAATTTAAAAGGTATTTGCATCCACATTGGGTGAACGAAATAGCTTAGGTTAACTCCAAAAGTTAAAGTTTACTGCAGTGCAAAAACACTAAAATAAATTAATGAGTTTACTTGAAGTAAAAAAAAGGACAAAAGAAAAATGACTAAATGACACACTTTAATGTTTTTACAGTTAGAACAACCTGGTGTTGATTTATACTTGGTATAGTTTAATTTTTGCATTTGTGGTGTTTTATATGTTAGATTATTGTCACACACCTGCCAATCATCCTGAGTGGCTCCTTCCATCAGCAGAAGAGTCCCGTGACTCAGAGGGACCCGTATTCTCTCTGTGTAGGTGTACTCATCACTGTCCTCCTAGCATGCTCACAAAGAGGGTCAGAAACTACAGTTTAAAGGAGCAACAAACAAAATGACTAAAACTACAGTAAACAGGGACGAGTTTTATAGTAAATTACTGGAGGTGCAACAATACATGTACCCGTATTGAACCGTTCAATACAGTGCTTTAGGTTCAGTACACACTTGTATCAAACAATACAGATTTTTTAAAATTAATTTTATCAGCTTGTCTTCTGAAGATGCTCTGTATTAAAGGATCAGTGGATCTGTATTCGACCACTCCACCTAGGCAGCATTGTCGAGATCAGATCCACTGAAAAACTTGCTGTTTCAGCAACATTTAATTTAAAAATTGTACTTTTGAGGTTAAACAAATGTTCGTACTTAATTTAAATAAATTACAAGTTAAAAAGAGCATGGGAATTTTTCTTTTTTGTATCGAAAAAATATCGAACCATGAGAATAAAGGGCTCGACACAGGGGAGGCGACGTCGCTCGCTCTCCATTCATTTCCTATGGAGCTTGTGCGATGAGGCGACAATCGCTCGCCCTCCTCCAGCTAAACGACCGGCGACAATAGTGCTTGTGAAATTTTGCACTCGTACACGTACACGTGAGCTTGCAATGCGACATATGAAAGTTGAAAAATGTTCAACTTTTGTTGCTGTCGCTTAGCGTACAACCAATCAGCAAGGGTTTCATTGACTGACCAATGAGAGGAGAGTATGCTACACACTGCAGTTAGCTAACATTTCACCAAGTGATTACTAAAAAAGTCAGCTTTGTGGGAATTTGTTGGTGCCAGGGTGAAGTTATCTGGTAAGTTTGTCCACCTAAAATTGTATCTTGGTGTGTGTTTGTTTTTCAGTATCATTAGCATCGCAAGATTTGTTTAGTTTACACGTCCGTAATGCACACCCCCCTTTTTTGTGAACCACCAATAACCTTTACTAGAGGCAGTAGAAAAACCAATCAAATTCTGTGAAGACAAGCGGCCTGAGAGCGCGACTCGCAATGCTGCCGTTTCACCCTGGCTGCGATGACAGCTGTTAATCGCTGTAGTTTGTCACTCCCCGTGTGTCGAGCCCTTAAAGTATTGAACCGAACCGAATCATGAATTTTCTGTACCATTGCACCCCTATAGATTAAATTTAGGCCTCACTTGAATATGGAGAAAATGCTACAAAACAATCTAACGTTTTTAAATGGGGTGTGGTGAAATTAGAACAAATAAATCTGTCTTTAAGACAACTATTAATAATATTACAACAAAACAAAAACTAAACAGGGACAGAAAGAGTTTGAAGAATTTAAAAAGGACAATTAAAACCATTAAAAACCCACTATAATAAAGGAAGAGATCAAAGCAAAGAGGTAGTATCGAAAGGTTTTTACTATCTGCAGAATATAACTGGCACTGAGTCTTATCTTCTTACCGTTGGAGGCTGCTTACGGAGGCTGAACACTCTGGTGTCTCCCAGACTGAGAGAAGCAATGGTAGGTTTGGGCCCCAGAGAAGCCTCGTCATCGCTGTGCCAGCCGATGCTGTCATGTCCGTCTCGATACAGGTTACACAACAGGGAGTTGAAGGAGCACCCACTCGCCCGCTCCACGGCCTCACGAAGGGTTACCAGCAGAGGATGCCACTATTGGAAACAAAATATTATGAAACTTTTAAAAAAAATCAACAAATATCATAAAATAAGTTGCAGTTGTCGACTCTTGTGACACCGACCGGATGCCACAGGGCTAAAAGAAAGAACACTATGTTGCCAAAAGTATTGGCTCACTTGCCTTGACTCACATAAGAGCTCAAGTGACATCCCATTCCTAATCCATAGGGTTCAACATGACGTTGGTCTACTCTTTACAGCTAGAACAGCTTCAGCTCTTCTGAAAGGCTGTACACAAGGTTTAGGAGTGTTTATGGGGATTTTTGACCGTTCTTCCAGAAGCATTTGTGAGGTCACATACTGATGTCGGACAGAAGGCCTGGCTCTCAGTCTCTGCTCTAATTCATCCCAAAGGTGTTCTGTCAGGTTGATGTCAGGACTCTGCAGGCCAGTCAAGTTCATCCACACCAGACTCTGTCATCCATGTCTTTATGTCTTTATGGACCTTGCTTTGTGCACTGGTGCAGTCATTTGGATGGGTGAGCAAATACTTTTGGCAACATAGTGTATGTATAGTTCAGGGGAAAAGTGGCATTATTCGTGATTTAGAGTTCTAGTGTTCTCTGTGTTGGTCAGAGAGACCCAAATACTTATTAAATGAAGGTCAAGAAGGTCCACTTTAAAATGACACCAAACATTATTATGAACCTTTGACTAATGTCTGTACCATGAGCCTAAACCAAATATACACCAGTCTTAAAAATCAGAATATATCAGGGTTAACTTCAGGAGCTGATAACACTGATTGCTACCACTTTGGAAAGGCTATAATACCAAAATATCATCTGCATACATGTACGTTACCTGTGTGTTGGCTGTCATGGTGGAGCGAGCGTACGTATACGGCAGCTCTCCGTACCAGCAGGTCAGCCTGGGCTCTTCGTATGCTTCACCTTCACCAACACACAAAAAGTCAAAACAATAAACAGAAAACAAAACAATCAGAAAGAGCTTCTTACTTTTGTCAGGACTTTTCTAAGGTTAAGATAAAGTTATTTCGAATCACTGACATCACAATTTAAGTACAAAGACTAAAATTTTACTTTTTAGTTACAGTTTAGTTTGTAGTTTATTGTCTGCCAAAATAAAAGCTAACACTTATTAACCACTCACAACAGATGGAGCAGAAAAAGGACAGAGTTTATTCCTACTGAAGGTAAAATAAACAGTTAAATCTAATTTCTCAGTTCTGTGCTCCTCTGTGGGTCTGGGTGTACTCAATGTCTTCTGGCAACAACATCCTCTCTTCTAAGAACCAATTCGCTGCCATTAGTGAATTTTAGTGGACCCTTGGATTTTGGAACACAGTGAAACCCAAACAAACTGCATGACCGGCCATCAATTATAAAGAGAGTTGAATTATTCAGGACCACAGGAGGAAGTATTTATAAACATGTGCAGTCATTATATCTCAAAAAGCTTCACTCTTTCCATAAAAAGATGTCATCGGGGAGAAAAGGTTTACAAAACCTTCCACGGCTGAGTCTAAAGAGCAGAAGGTTGGAAAAACTAACTCACTGTAATAAAAGCGTGTTTAAATACGGCATGATAAATGAAACAAGACAATTACAGCTCAACTCTGTATCCACTTCTGTATCAGCTTTTTTTCTAAAACGTGTCATGACCTTGTTGACAGACGGCTGGAAACAGGATTACACAACCTGTCTCTATAAGCAGAGTTTAGAAACACCCCACTGTCTGCATCATGCCGTCTGCTGCAGAGCTGTCTCAGAGCAGCACACGAGACGGACAAGAGCCAACTGAGAGAAAGTGTGGCTTCATCGCTACTTTAACTGCAATCAACTGTCTGCTAAATGTTTTTCTTTCAGCTCTTCCCTCTTCAGGGGTCGCCACAGAGAGTCATCATCCTCAGTCTCTCTGCCCTCACAGCATATCTTCTTCCTCATCATTTGGAGTTCTTCTCTGCATTTATTTTCTTCCTCTCCTTCACAACATTCACTATGCACAACATATGATGCTGTCTGGTGACGCGCTCCCTGCCACAACCTAAAAGTGCCCAGTCTCCCACAGGTAACCTCTCATACACACAGTCAAATGGCTTGGAGGGCCAACTGTGGCCCGCGGGCCCCACTTTGGGCCCCTCTGATCTAGAGCCTGCCAGAACTTCTTTTTCTCCTCTACCCCACATCCAACCTGTGGAGCAGAACCACTAACAACATCTGACATCACCCCTTCTCCATTCCTCTTCCTATCAACACCATGGTAGGATAACCAAAACCATGTGCCGGTGCTGCAAGCCTTGCGGTCCTTCCACTTGGTGTACACACACGCCTGTACCCCGTTTGTCAACAGCACCAGTGGTGGTCACTGTTAACCCACGCCTCGACCGGTTCGTTATGGAGTCATTTGGACAAACTCACATCTTTGTTTCGGCAAAATTATTTTACAAAAAACGTCTGTTTTTTTTTCCAAGTCAAGCTTTTTTCACCTCAGGCAGCTTGCAAAGGTGAAGCCATTTCTTCCTCACCAGCACTTTGAAACAGTAATCCATGCCTTCATCACCTCTCGGCTGGATTCCTGTAATGCACTTTATTTTGATGATCCATGTTTTTCAGTGTTCAGTTTTCATGTTTAATTCTTTTGATGTTTAGTTTCTGTATTTTCTTTGTGTCCAGTTTGTTCCATTGCTTCTCTGTATTTCCTGCTATCCTCCATGAGACTTCACCCCTCTGGTTCTGGCATATCCACTCACACCTGTTCTCTGTTGTCATTTTGTTCTGGTTTCTCCACGCCTCTCATTAGTCCCACTGTTTTTAGCCTCCCAGTCTGGCATTGTGCGTGCTTCATACCGTGTTAGGTTCCTCTTCAGTTCTCCTTGAGGTTTTATTTTGTTTTGTTTTATTCTCATTTTGCTGACACGCGACTTCAACCTTCAAAATGTTCATAGTGGTTCATGAGATCACTTCAACACAAATCTTTCACATTATGTGGTTATTCCAGCAGAGACAATATATTTCTGTTGGAAGAGCTCCAGACTCTACTGGAAGTGCTACTGCTAGCTTCTGCTGCTGCTCTGTGCACTTATAAATAACCATGGACAGATGTAAATATTCATGTAATCCAACATTAAAGCAGGTGTAAATGAACCTCTATGAAACTTTGGTGATTATAGTTGTTTTAGGGGAGGCAGAAATCCACTTTGGTTCTATAGCTACATGGAGTAACTGTCAGACTTTAACTCGATTTTTCTAAACTGAGGTTGTTTAACAAGCTATCTACAACAGGTAAGATATTATTTGTTCATAACTTTTCCACAAAACCCCACCTTAAAGTGTGAACTATCTATTTAATTACATAAATAAACAGTTTGCCACTGCAGATGAATGAAACAGTAAACAAGCTGACGTGGGAATTAAATGACTCTTCAGTTTATAAACCAAAAAGCTCCTGTTTCTCTTTTTTCTACACAGTATTTTTAGTCACAGTTCTGGTCCCCACCCTGTCTGTAGTTAGTCTTCTGGGACCAGGGCAGCTCTGCCAGCAGTTTACTGAACATCCAGTCGGCCTCCTCTGAGCAAAGAAACCCAGGTCGCAGACGCAGTCTGGATGGAAAAACAAAAACAAACAAACAAACTTCATTTTTCTTTTCATTACATGATCAATCATTAAAACAAATTCAATGTGCAAAAATATTACTGTTAAAAATGAAATGTAGTTTTATAACAATCAGGGCTGTTAGGAAAACATTGTACTACCACCATCTTAATCAGGGGTGGGAATTTCCATCTGACTGAATTAACCTCGAGGGTTGAAATATATCCATGTTTGAGCGTCAATACTCATAATACTCATTTCTAGCTGATTAACAGAATTATTCTTGTCACATGTTATGTTTTATAGACACCACACACAAGTTAGATGCCAGGGCAGCTATTTAGATTGTTCCTTGTGTGATTACTGCCACCTACTGGATTCAAAACTCAACTACAAGTTTGCTCAATCAAACAGTTTTGTATTACGTTAAGTCATCACTGTTCATTCTCCTCTTTTTATTTCATCAGACATCACGTCATTCACGCTTGATTATAAAAACATATATTATATAATATTGTTTCCTCCTAACTAAACTGTACTCACCGAGATATCCCAGACGGCTCATGACTGATGTCATAATCCCCTGCCTGCCTTATAAGAGTAAAATCATGGACATTTGTTAACTTTAGTTTGGCAAAACAAACAGAAAACAGAAAAAAAGTGGCGCAATAAATAAAAAAAACTATCATTTCTGGAGCTGTCCTGTGCCATTGTTTACTGTAAGTAACTTACTCTATGATCCTTTCAGGTGGAACATCTCGAACTGGCTGCCATGAAGAAAATATAAATGATGAAACAGAGTTAACAGCATCGTCTGATTTATTTTTGTCATTCTGTAAAAGACAAAAATACTTTCAATAAAACGGTCACACAGTTTACCTTTGTGGGCTGGTGAAACTCAAAACTTGTGGAGGTCTTCTGGTTGTTAAAACTCCAGGAACCTGAGGCTGTGTTAATGTCCTTGGGCTGATTGTTCGGGGCTCCTCCTGTTTGAGAAAACAAAGAATTTTTTTTTTCACGTCAGCCTGAATTGTAGGACTTAAATTAGCTCAGCTCTATGGCAGCCGAGTTCTGTGGAAATTAGGGTTGGGCAATATTGGCAAAAAAATTAATCACGATTAATTGTGGTATTTAGCCGATAACGATTAATTTGACGATTAATCCCCTGGAGTCCTTGGACACCCTTATTTTGTAGTCACATGACCAATTTAGTGGGAAAGATTTGATCTTTGTAAAAATTGTCCTAAATTGTGTGAAAATTACAGATTTCAGGCTATACATCATATTTTAAATTGTGTTGCTAGATAAATAAATTACAGAACTTCATTTTTAATGTTCGTCATATTTGAAGCGGAGAGGAGCAGCGAGCGGACTGACCGGAGTAATCCCCAGTCAGTCCACCTGGTGGCATTACTCATATTAATTGTCAAGTGCCAAAAAGTAGTCGATTAATGTTTTTATGACGATTAATTGCACACAAAACGATTATGCCAACCCTAGTGGAAATGTAGCATATTGAACAACCTCAGCCTGGAAAAATCTACTTGTTTTTCCTGACCAGACTGATTGATTTAATGACTAGTCTGATCAGGGCCAACCAAAGTGGATTTATACCATCTTAAAACAACTTCCAGCAATCATCAGTTTGTATATTACATAGTTATTCTGTCAGAAATATGATGATATTTCTGTTGGAAGTGTCTCAGGATGAAATAGAAGTACTACAGCTAACTGCACCTAAAAACATTTATATTAACAATCATTTCTTAATTTACTCTGAATTCTGGGGTTGTTTTCAGATGCAAATAGTGAAAGAAGCAGCTAGCTGGAGTTTGTTTAATATTTAAATTAATTTAATTGATTTATTTAATTATCCGTGGCGGCACGGTGGCTCAGTTGGTAGAGCTGATGCCTCTCAGCAAGAAGGTCACCGGTTCAAATCCCGATCCAGGGACCTTTCTGGGTAGAGTTTGCATGTTCTCTCCGTGCATGCGTGGGTTCTCTCCGGGTACTCCGGCTTCCTCCCACAGACCAAAAACATGACTGTTAGGTTAATTGATAACTCTAAATTGTCCCTAGGTGTGAGTGAGAGAGTGAATGCTTGTTTGTCTCGTTTGTCTCTATGTGTGGCCCTGTGATGGACTTGCGACCTGTCCTGGGTGTACCCCGCCCCTCGCACTGTGACTGCTGGATATGGGCACCAGTGACCCACGCAACCCTGAAAAGGAAGAAGCGTGTACAGAAAATGGATGGATGGATTTATTTAATTATTTAATTTAAAATTATATATATATATATATATATATATATATATATATATATATATATGATTTAATTAATTTATTTATTTAATTGATTTATTAGCATTATTTAATTTTAAAATAACAATGCACATTGATCAATAATTCAGCAATATAAACACAATAATAAACCCAAAAAAGATTTCATTTATGGTCCTGAGCAAGTAAAGAAAAAAAAAAAACAAGTTCATAAAACAATCCATAAAACAAAACACAGAAACATCACACTCCCATAAAGTACACAGTTTAAATTAACCCATTTTATAAACAACTGCATTATTTTCTTTTAAAAGACAGCAAGAGGCAACAATCCTCTCAAGTCTTGGCCCACTTGGATAAGCTATTAGCTTATGACCAGGGAATGGACTCCTGGTAGTCACACAACCTAACAGTGGCGTTGCATTCTGAATAGCTTGGGGTAACACTCACATTGGTAAGACCTTTATTGTTCATAACTTTCTATAATCCCCACTTCAAAACATGCAAACTATCCCTTTAATAAAATCTTCATCTCAATAATATATAATACAATATAATAATCCTGAATTTCCCCTCGGTGAGACAATAAAGGCTATTTCTATAAGTTAAACGAGGAAAAACAACATTTTAGTATGTGCTTCCAAGCAATGAACAGATTAAAATGAGCTATTTAAATAAGGTTGCAGGTTTTACCAGAACAAGGAGCTCTTTACTCACCTGTTTGAACTGAGTGCTTCGATGGTTGTTTGGCCCAGGACCCCTGCACTCTCGCACGCTGACGTTTATCTGACATCACATCAGACCTGCTGGCTCTGAAACATGAAGCAGAAACAAATACTGACAAACTAATCATGGAAAAAAAATACAGCCTGCTTTTCAGTGCCTCCCACAATCTAAAAACTAAATTAGCAACTAATGGCTTCTTCTGAGGATTTCCCTTTTATAACAAAAACAATCATATTTAAAGCAACTCCACAGCTTGAACCCTTGCTGTACCAGATTATGATTTTTGTACAAATAATGCTGCATGTTGTGTTTAAATAACGTGAATATTCCACTTTAATGATTCATTTCAATCATAAAAAAATTGTGTTTTACTCCAGTTGTTAATCAAGTTGTGGGTTTTTGATTTATTTTTTATTAAGCAACAATTGAATTCAGTTCGTCTCTTAACTTCAATAGCGTGAGAAATAAAACGTGTTGTGAGATTAACAATTTATATACAAGCTCTGTAACCGGATATTTTTCCAAACATGTAGGTAAAAAGTTTTAATTGTGGCTATCTTGACTAAAAATCTTCCAAAGTTTAGTAAAGCGAAGCTGTAAAAGGCTAAATGATTATTCAACCTTCATACAAACAAAATATATTTGACAACAGATAAAAATAGAAACAAACTTTACAAAAACTTACGTAGCTTGAAGCAAAAAGTGGTGAAAAAAGAGATAATTGTACCGAAACCTAAACAGCCCGGTATTTGACAGCCATGACTGCGGCGTGTCACACAAAAACATGCTCTACCGGAAGTGCAGATTCAGAACAATAGTTCCGTTTTTTATTTTTATTTATTTATTTTTTATTTGTTTTACTTTGTTAATACTTATATTTGTGTACAGTACTGACA